TAAGTGGAAACAACCCACATGTCCACCAATTACAGAATGTATGAACAAATGTGTTATAGCTATACAAAGGATTCTTATTCATAAAAAGGACTAAAGTTTGATACCTTAACCAGTATAAAAGTATATTTTTTTTTAAAAAAGTGTATTTGATACTTTTAAAACATGGATGAACCTTGAATTTTATGGATGTGAAAGAAGCCAATCACAAAAGGACATATTATGATTCTACTTCTAGGAAATATCTGAAAGAGGCAAATCAACAGAAACAAAGTGGATTTGTAGTTGCTCAAGACTGGAGTGGGGATGGGGAGTGACTGCTAATGGGATATGGGAAATCCTTTCTGGGAGACAAACAGTTTCAAAATTATTGTAGTGATGGTTTTGTACAACCCTGTGAACACATGAGAAAGCAAAGCATTGTTCACATTAAATGGGTAGATTGTGTATGGTATGTAAAATATGTCTTAATAAATGTATTAAGGAAACAGTTGTTAAAACATTAATATATCCAAGGAGAGAATAAAAGGAGTGGCCCAAACTACTGCTCAGAAAACAGAGGAAGACAGGAGGTGAGAGGAGGGCCCAGACCTGTCAGAGACTGTGGCTGTTGAGAACAGATGTGGAGGAAATGGCAGGAACAGTGAGCAAGGTGGGGCTTGGAAGGAAACAATTGCGCCAAAAATGTGCCTGCTTCACAATGTTGTCAAGGGCTGCAGAACCCTGAGGAGAAGATTCTGTGATGTCATGGTCTGGCCTCTGTGACACAGCACTGGAGGCCAGGGAGAACTGCCCTCAGGAGATGGGGTCTCCAGTTCCCAGTGGGGGTGGCACTAGGGATGCCGCCCCTTGGACAACGTCCTAGTCTCCCAGAGACTTTGCACCCACTGGCCCCACTCTTAGTGTTGCTTCTGTTAAGTGTGATAAGCTATCTCTTTTGGGGCCAGGCTGAGCATAAGGACATCACTATTTGGGGTAAAAGGTACCAGAGGAACCAGAGTAGCAGGAAATCAGGATACTTGTTGAATCCCCGATTCACGTTTGGGAGAACAGAACCTAAAACACAGACACCTGGTTGAAGGACTGAGGCCAGGCTCAGATGGAAATCTAGGTGAGAACAAGTTTAGGATGGCCCATATACGGGTGGGGGAGGATGGAGCCACAGTGTGGTGACTGTTCCTATCTCTCTCAGGCTCTTTCACTGATGAGTTTTGTGAAACAGACCAAGAAGACTCCTTATTGGTAAGCGTTCACAGCACCAAAGATTTTCAAGCGACTCGACGACACATAACAACAACAACAACAACAACAGTCCTGGTTCTGCCCAAGCCGCCTTTTCCAATCCCACCCCACACTTCCTCCCTTCCTCTCCAGTTCCCTCATCCTGGAGAGGGTTTTGGTTTGGGGGTTGGTTTTCTGTTGGTTTATTTGTTTTGTTGTTGATTTGGGGTGTGTGTGTGTGTGTGTGTGTGTGTGTGTGTGTAAATTTAGGGTCTTTGTGATTTCTACGTAGGACTGTGCTTGAAGCTGACCACAGAGAGGTGAAAATCCACCTCGTGAGGTCAGGAAAGGCCATTTATAAGTCTTTCCAACTCTGGAAAGAAATAATTCTGGAGTTAGGGTCAAGCAAATCACAGGTCACAGGCCGTTTCCACGATGACCATTTAGGGATCGCTACACACATATCTTTGGCAGGAAAAACAAATCTAGGGAAGGATATGCCTATGGATATCCGGAAACCCAAACCCAACTGTTGCCAGAATCCAGTCAATTCTGACTCATGGTGACCCCACATTTCAAGGCAGATCTGTACTTTGTAGGGCATCAAAGGACTCTGTGCTCAGATGGGCAGGTCTCTCCCTCTCAGTGCCACTGAGTACGTTCAAACTGCCAACTCTTGGGTGAACTTTGAGTACAAACATGACCATATCCTAGTAATGAGATGATTCTCCAGAGAGTGCCTGAGGGGGAGGAGTAAAGGGGAGTGAGGGCAGGGGAAGCATAGATGAGGGAATCAATACTCCCAAAATCTTGGGCTCTTTCTTCCCAGCTCCTGCAGTCTGAACCTTCCTGCCCCACCTAGATGACTGTGGTAAAAGACAGATACTTAGATCCTCCAGTCGCTGACTTCCCTCCAGAATGGCTGCCTGCAAACAAGTGAGATACGGTTCTGGGGCCCACACTTCTGCCTGAGTACCCAGCGCAGCAGGCCAAGGTGTCCTCTTGGACTGCCATCAACACTGGCCCTGGCTGGAGCTGCACACAGGAGGACCTGATTTCTCAGCTATTTGGGCTTCGGAAATTAAGTCCAGCCTCTGCCAGGTCTAATCCCTGGTCTTGCTGCCCAGGTCCTGTGTGGATTCAAGGCAATGCTGCCTCAAAACAAGGACCAGGTGCTGCTTCAAAAAGCAGAAACTCCTGGGCCCCCTACCCAGGGCCTCTTGAAATTCATAGACTCCCCTCCCTACAACCCAAGGCCTCTCTTCCCCCATCAATCACTTTCTCCCTCTCCCCCACCCTTAAATCTTTCCCTACACTACCCTTCTCCAAACTCTCATTTCTACTCTTCTGACTCTAATTCTTACTTTTTCCAGTATATCCCAGCCTCCTCGGCTTTCTTTCACCAGAACCCTCCCTGTTGCTCAGTTCCACAGTCGTCCTCTTCCTCTGAGGCTCATAACTCCTCCCTCCCCAACCCACTTCTCCATCCAGAAGGCTCACGTAGTGCCCCACCTGCCTCCCCCAGCCCCAGACTCTTTTCTGGGGCCCACTCTTCCAGGCAGACATGGCACTTGCATCAGCACAGGGAGCCTGGATCCCATGGGGTGGTGGAGGAACGCGTGGCAAGCAAGAAGGACACTGCAGAGCTCAGGAATCCAGGCAGCCTGGTCCAGGCCCTGGTGGCCCAGCTGGGGCACCAGCGCATTGCACTCGACTTGCGTTTACTGCTTTTGCGGCGCCTGTGGCTAGGCAGCCCCGGTCAGGCCCCAGTCGTGGAATATCCTCTATGTCTGGTGTGTCTCCGACCACGCGGCCCCTCTTGCCCCATTATCAAATACGAAACTGTGCCCCGGCTGCTGGCATTCCCCCAACTGCTGCCCCATACAAAGGGCAGGAAGTCCAGGCCACTCCGAATAGGCATCGGCTTTGGCCTCTGCCTGCCTTGGGGCCAGGCCAGCGCCTTGCATCTACTGTCAGAACAAGAGCAGGAGGAAGTAGGACTTCAGGCCAAGACTGCTCAAGTCCCGGCATCTTGGGCAACAGCATCTCAAGATCCAGCAGCTCAGGCTCAAGCTCAGGCAGATCTGGCATGCAGCCCACCCTCCCACAGCGAGGACCACAGGCCACCAAGCTCTCAACCACCAAACTCCACCAGCAGCTCACGGTCTCCCCTCCTGGGAACAAGACAGGCCACTGTCTCCTTGAAGCCCAAGCCCTCCTCTGCCCCAAAGAGGTCTGTCTGTTCAGAATCCATTCCCCCAAAGACTTTCCCATAGTTCCACAGCCACGGAGGATCCTTGGAGCACCTCCTCCAAACACCACTCACCTTACTAGAACCCAGGTCTCTGAGTTTCCCCGAGACATCCTGAAGGGTTGGCTAGCTGGAGGTCAGGTGTGTTCTCCAGCTCTGAACCCTGGGAGTCCCTTGTGGAGTCTGCTGTCTCCTGGCTAGAGGATCAAGGGCACTCGAGGCCCCATCTAGTTTTCATTGTATTCAATAAAGCCTAATCCTGTGAAACTTCTGTTGTCCTACTACACACACAGAAGGATGAGCAATCTCCTCCCAAGTGATTAACTGCTTCTGAAAACACCCCTCTGGGTCAGCTATGAGTCAGTTCCAGCTAAATGGTACACATCAATAACAACAACACTTACAGAATGGGTGGCTATACCTACAGGGGCGTAACTTCCCAAACAAGCCCTATTAGGGGGGAGTCAAAGGAAGGACAGAGGCCAGAGAGAGACTATGTCACATATGGAAGGACAGCAAGGGACACATAAGGGCCAAGCACCAGAGATAAACTGTGTGCTCTAGCATATTTAGTTCATGCATTTAATTGAAATACAGAGCTGCCTTATGTATACCTTAGCTAAACACACAGGCAGCCAGTCCTGGAAGAAGGAAGTGCCTCTTTGCAAGGAACAGCATTCATTTAATCCACTTGCAAGAAACACACTGATCCTCCAAAATCAGGAGGTGGAGTGTCAGGCAGAGAGAGACCTACTCAGAGTCACATTATCTCCTCAACTCCTGCTCTGAGAGAAGCCAGAATCTCAGAAAGTGGACAGCCTCCATCCCACAAACTTGCTCAGGAGGAAGAACACTCCAAAAGAGGGAAAAGCCCCAAGAAAGAGAATGGAAGACTGCCACTTCTGCCAACCAAGCAGGGCGGGTTTTTAGTGACTTCTTCATATTAGAGTGGTAAGAAGTGGTACTGCCAACTCCAAGGCATGTGGTTCAAATTCACCAGCTGCTCCACAGGAGAAATAAGACAATCTCCACCTGTGCGATTACAGACTCTGAAAATTCACCAGAGGGTCAGCAACCTTCTCATACTTATGGATAGTGGTTTTGGGATGTGAAATTTGTTTTTTTTTCCCTGGTTTTAAATGGATCTCTGGAGGCCTTGTCCATACGGACTCAAAGGTTGAGCTCGTGGCAGTCTGAATTCACCAGGGGCTCCATGGGGAAAAGATGAGCAATCTCTTGTGATTTACAGCCTCATATACCCAGTGGAGGGTCAACTACGACTTGGTTCCAACTCAACAACAATAGATTGAATCTGAGTTTTGTGTGGTTTTAAAGTCCTTGCTGCCTTCATTAAGAGGAAAGAAACTTAAAAGTTTTTGACCTTGGGCAATTTTTCTTTGGGACTACTGCAGGTTTGTTCCAACTTTTAATGACATCCCTACTCTCCAACAGGTTTCTAAGACAGTAATGTTTACAGCAGAAGACTTGACTGTCTTTAACAGAAAAGCTGACTGATTTAAACTGCTAAATTTTGGTGGTTGTTATGTGCTACCGACTCCAGTTCATAGCAACACCATGTACAACAGCTCTGAACCCAGCTAGCTGTCTTGAGCCAATTTCATTATCTCTGACACCCCCTACCCCCATTTCCCCAGTCACTCAATCTAACTCATCCAGGGTCTTCCTTGCGCTGTCCCTTCACCCTTCTAAGCATGACGTCCTCTTCCAAGGACTGGTCCCTCCTTGCAACATGTCCAAAGCATGTGAGACCGAGTTTCAAAATCCTTGCCTCCAAGGAGCAGCCTTTTGGGCTAGCAACCTCATTATGTTCAGAACTCACATCACCCTTTGTAGTGTTATGAGTCCCAATCCAAGGACTTCATTACAGGTTTACTAGCCACTATTAGGAATTCCTGGGTGATGCAAACAATTAACCACCCAAAAGAGAATTCTGGCGTAATCCATTTCACGTTCCATTAACCAAAAGGCTGCGCTCTCCAGCTAGTCGAACCTACCAGCGGCTCCACAGTAGATAGTGTCTCCCACAAAAACTCAATATAAGGTGCTATGAATCAGAATCGATCAGATGGCAATAAGTGACTATTACTCTAAACATTGTTCACACGTCCAGTGGCTTCGCAGTGGAAGGGGTTAGCGACTCGAAGTTCTGGGTTATGAAAACTCCATGAAACACAGTTCTATGAGCGGTCGCGAGTAGGAACCAACTCCACAAGCAATTTATGTGACCCGTCTCTTTGCATAATCACTGCGGGTGTCTCCTTCACGAAAGCCTTCGCCTCCCAGCCAGGAACCGAGACCGTGGAACCCGCGGTCCCGCGGGGAGAAGAACGAGCCCGCGACGCCCTCTTGCGTCACATCCCGCCCAATAGTGCTGACGCGGATGGAGGTGCTGCGTTTGCGCGGAGGGAGCGACCCGATTGGTGCGCGTTAGCACTGCGCGTCTGGCAGCCGGGTTGGGCGGCCTCGGGATAGAGTCCGAGTGTAGTTGGCATCGCAGTGTGTGTGTGCCAATTCGGGGGTCCTCCCGGCGGTAGCTGGACTAAGTGCAGCAGCGGCCGGGGCAGGAGCCAGGGGCCGGGCGAGACATGTCCCCGTTGGCCGCGGTGTGAGCAGTGACGAGCGGCGGGCAGAATGGGCCGGCGCCGGGCGCCGGAGCTGTATCGGGCCCCGTTCCCGTTGTACGCGCTCAAGGTGGACTCGAGCTCAGGGCTGCTCATCGCTGCGGGCGGCGGGGGCGCGGCGAAGACCGGCATAAAGAACGGCGTGGTGAGAGCGTGGGCCCTGTAGGGTCTTTGGGGGCTGACTACGCCACGGGCTAAGGGCGATGGTGGGAGGTCCAGGGGTCGTGGAGACGGCAATAGCTCAGCGTCTGGCCCTGCCAGTCCCCGCCGGGGTTCCCGGGGCAAGTCAAGTGCCTGTGGTGCGCATTTCATCCAGAGGATTGATAAGACCCTTAAGGCGAACACAGTGCTGGGAAGGCAAGAGCGTTTCAGCTCGATTTCAGGAGCGGCTCCAGGGTCTTCCTCTGCCATTTTCCGGGGAGCCCACCGGGACATTCTTATCTACCCTCAAGCAACGAGTGAGAGAGGCACATTTGGCCACAGACCAAGTTCTTTCACTTTCTGTAAATGGGAAGCAATACTTCCAACTCTGGCAGCCGTACAGATTTGTGAGACCCAATCAGAGACTTTCACAAAGGTTTGTGCACTGGGAATCGCAGTAGCAAAGGGGTAAAAGCACCAGACTATAGAGATGTCAGTTTGTCTTTCAACTCTCAAGGAACCTCTTAGCCTTGCTCATCCCTGTTTCCTCTCCCAGCACTTTCTGCAACTAGAGCAGATAAATGGGCGCTTCAGCGCCTCCTTGCTACACTCGCATGACACAGAGACACGGGCCACCATGAACTTGGCACTGGCTGGTGATATCCTTGCTGCAGGGCAGGATGCCCACTGTCGGCTCCTTCGCTTCAAGATCCGTCAGCAGAAGGGCAACAAGAAGACTGAGAAGGCAGGTGAGGAACCCTCTCTCTAGCCCTTTGGAAAAAAGAGATGAGTAAGATAACTCTCCATTTGATCTAAAAAGAAGTGAGCAGGAAATGGAGCTTGGTAGCAGGCTGTAAGCTGGGCATTGCCACAGTGGAGAGGAAGACTAATGTGATTGAAGAAATCTGGGACCTGGCAGGCTGTGTGTGTTGCAGGTTCCAAGGACCATGGACCTCGACAGAGGAAGGGGGCAGTATCCGCAGAGCAGAAGTCTAGAGCAGAAGAAACCCACCCTGAGGGGTCAGAACTCAGTGTCGAGACTTTGAAGGCTGTGCAGACAGACTTCAGCACTGATCAGTTGCAGAAAGTTGTATGCTTCAACCATGATAACACCCTGCTTGCCACCGGAGGGTCAGATGGCTTCGTTCGTGTGTGGCAGGTGTGGTGTTTTGTTTTGACTTGAGCAATGGATGTATGATTGGTTTAGGGCAGGTGTCAGTAACAACAAGGTTAAAATTGTGAGGAACTAAACGTGAGTTCTGAGAGATGTGTGAGTGAAGCCTGCACTTAATGGCCATTAAGAGAAAAAAAGAGTGCTCTGGCTGAGTACCTGGGCTAACTATAGCGGTGACTTGGCTTACAGGTTCCTACTCTGAAGAAAGTTCTGGAGTTCAAAGCCCACGAAGGGCAGATTGGGGACCTGGCTTTAGGGCCTGATGGCAAGGTAAGGAAGTGGAGGGATGGAAGGGGGCAGGGGGCTATGCTGCCTGCCCAGTAAGTGGGTTTCCTAACTGTCCGTCCTTGTAATCTTTATTCCTATTTAGTTGGTAACCGTGGGCTGGGACCTTAAGGCCTCTGTTTGGCAAAAGGATCAGCTGGTGACACAGCTGCACTGGCAAGAGAATGGACCCACTTTTTCAAACGTGCTGTACCGCTACCAGGCCTGCAGGTGTGAAGACCCCAGAAGGTGGCTACAAGAGGCACAGCTTAGATTGGGTGGGGGAATGGGGCATCTGTGGAGGACTGTGACCTTAGTAGGTGTTAGCCCTGGCCTGACCTCCTGTGACCAGGAGGGCACAGACCCCTGAACAGTTAGGCAGGCCCCAGGATCTGAGACTGACTCTCTGTCCAGGTTTGGGCAGGTTCCGGACCAGCCTACTAGGGTGCGACTCTTCACAGTGCAGATTCCCCACCAGCGCCTCCGCCAGCCTCCACCTTGCTACCTCACAGCCTGGGATGGTTCCACATTCTTGCCCCTTCGGACCAAACCTTGTGGCAATGAAGCCATCTCCTGCTTCAGTGTCAGGTGTGAGGCAGTGCTTGATTGGGGATGAGGTGCCTGGGGAGCTTATGAAGGAGTCCTGCCTGACCTGCCTAAATCCCTAAGGGCCACTCTTGGTGAATGAGACCCCACCCCCACCCCCTTTACACAGGCCTCCCAGACAGTAAGCGCTTTATTGTTTGTTGCAGTGAGTCGGGCACCTTCCTAGGCCTGGGCACGGTCACTGGCTCTGTTGCTATCTACATAGCTTTCTCTCTCCAGGTAATGAGTGCAGGTGGGCACAGCCCTGGGCTCTTTGGGGTGGGACTCTGAGCCTACCTCTATCCAAAGTATGCAGAAAGGAGTCTGGCCCATCCTGTAAAGGGAAAGCTTTCTGGGATCAGAGGGCATATTTTCCAGTGGGGTACCACCCCACTGTGCTTTTCCTCACCCTTGTCCTGTCCCCAGCGCCTCTACTATGTGAAGGAGTCCCATGGCATTCTGGTGACAGATGTGGCCTTTCTACCTGAGAAAGGATGTGGTCCAGAGCTCCTTGGGTCTAATGAAACTGCCTTGTTCTCTGTGGCTGTGGATAGTCGCTGCCAGCTGCACCTGCTACCCTCACGACGTGAGTCATTGTTGGGGAATGCACCCCTCCTACACCCCCCCCACACACACACACACACTTAGCACTTTTGCCCTGGAGAGCTGTAGTCCTCTGTCTTCCTGAATGGAGTAGATTGAGGATCTTGTTCTTCAAGCAGTGAAGTTGCTTTGCCTTTTGACTTTTCCCCTTACTCCCCCTACAGGAAGTGTTCCTGTGTGGCTCCTGCTGCTGCTCTGTGTTGGGCTTATTATTGTGACCATCCTCCTGCTCCAGAGTGCCTTTCCAGGCTTTCTTTAGCCTCCCTTCTCCCTGAAAACCAGGGACACTGGATACAACCACCCTTTAGACAAGAGTGGAGGCCTGGAGCCCACTGATCCCTCTGTTTGGGTCTAGCTGAGATTGCCTTCATTGAGACCAGGAGGCGCAGCTCACCTTTCCCAGTTTAAGCTCAGCTGAGACTCTGTCTGGGTCCTAGGAACTGTGCAGTCATCACCTGTGAATTCACCCATGATAGTGGTTTCTGAAGCCCAGGCCACACTACTTGCCATCTTCCCGCTGCCTACCAGAGACTCTAGAGCTGAACTTGTTCCTACTCTACGAATATGTGAAGATGCTCCAAAACCCAGGGAAACTACCGTCCTTCTTACAGAAATCATGTTTCTCCTCTCTCCTCACAGCCTTGTGGCCAGTTGCTTTTCTCAAGGAGCCCCTGGCATTTGCTGGGGCAAAGATTGGCTGAGGACTTGTAGGGAAGAAAAGGGAAAATCCCAGAAGAAATCCATAGGTTCAGTTAAGCTGTAAGTTCCTGCTGAACCATCTACCCAAGTCTTGGAGAAAGGGAAAATGAATCTGAGCCCCTTAGGCAGAAAAAGTTATTTAATAAACAAGAGAAGACCAAGACCTAAATAATTCTTCTGTCAGCTCTTGCCTCTCTCGGAAGGTAGGCAAGTTCTGAGGTTAAGCAGCTCCTCTGGGTGCTGGAAGATGGCTTTGGCATACTGGTGCAGGATGCGATTCATATAGCAATGCTGCCTGGGGAGCAGCCCCTCAAGGAAGCCAATGTGGCCACCTCGGGCTGTGATGAGCAGTGCAAGGTGGGGAGACTGTTGGGCGGTCTGGAGGGGAAAGGCTGAGGAAAGGGCCAGAGAAGTCAGGAATTCTGGCCTTTACTGAAAGCCCAGGCTCTCTCTGCAGCATCTCGTGGCCCTTTCCCCGCCTCAGGCTTAAACGTCAAGGTTCAAGGCACTCACCACTGTCGGGAGAAAAAGGGTCGTCTGCTGCATTGAGACAGAGCACAGGGACTTGGATGGCATCTGCCTTGGTTCTTGGGCTTGATGCGCGGTAGTAGACATCACAGTCTTGATATCCAAAAGCTACAGCTGTGTAACGCTCATCAAACTGGCGAATTGTGCGGGCCTGGGTATGGTGGAGGTGTGTGAGTCAGGCTAGAGCAAGAATGAGGAGTGGAACATTGATGGGGAGCAGGAGGGTGAGAGACTGTACCTGTAGCACAAAGTCTACATCCACCATTTTTTCAATAGCCTTTCTGTTTCTGCAAAAGAACAGACATCTGAATCTGGAAGAAAATTCTAATCTTCCAAAAGCCCTCTCCCTCCACCATCATCACTCCTGAACCTGACCTCAAACCCTCAACTCTTAGTTTAATCTATATCTTAAAGATTAAGTCCCAACTATAGAACTCACCTGAGCACTGGGAGAACCTGGTTTGTCTGCCATTCTACCCTGCTGCTGCCCCCTACCCGCTTGCCAAGACCCTACCGGCCCACGAATCTGCAGAGTCCAGCAGTGAGGTGTTGATTGAAGAGCCGGTTGAGTGGGGTCTCCAGGGAGCGAGTGGTCTCAAAGGAATCCCAACATGCAGAGAAAGTCAGTGCTGCTACCACCCCAGCGGCCTGCCCCGTCCGTGCCAGGTAGTTGAGCACCAGAATCCTGCAGGGTTAGACCAGGGGCCGTGAATGCATTCATGAGATGGGACAGAGCAGGAGACGTGGGGTGGGGATAGGGGGAATGAGCCTAGGCACTTTACCCTCCAAGAGAGATGCCCACAGCCAGCAGGGGAGCTTTGGGGTGGCGGTGCTTTATGTGGTTCATAACTGTCTCCAGATCTTCAGTATTGGCAGCACAGTAGGTCCTGTAAGTCTGAGGGTAAACCAAATCACTGGGTAGAGAGAAGGCATAGAAGAATGCTGCTTAGTCTTTGAGCTAAGTGTAGGGAAGGGATGAGATGGAAATTACTCTTAGGAAAGGGTATGGGGTATGTAGATGGAACCCCAGAACCATGTATCTTTGATGCGCAGGAGATGAAGGGCCATTTCCTGCTGTGATGTGGAAAGGCAACTTACCAGCAGTTCTTCCCCACGACAGCCCCGGTTGTTAAATACGACAGCCCTGTCGCACACAAAAGTACATATTAGCCACACCCTCCAGGAGTTCCTCTCCCCTTTTGGCAGTCATTAGACCCCAGTGAAAAGGCTCCCTTTATTTAGCACTCTTCCCCCATATTTATCAGAGTCTGAACGGATTTCTCCTCGTTACAGGTCCTCATGTCTAACCTCCTGTACCCGTCCTTACCTATATCCATCTCTCAAAGCTTGGTCAACTAGGTGCAAGATATATGTCTCCTGGCTACTGCCTGTAATGCCAGGAAGCAGTAGTACAATGGGCTGGGTGGTAGGGTCAGGGTATTGACTGCTGCCGTCCTGGCCAGCCCAGTCTAGCAGGAACTGTCCTCCATCTGGGGTTTGGAGGACTTCACTGTGGTTTCAGAGAGAGGGCACACAAAGACAGTGTTAGGAACTGAAGGTACCTTCACAAAGCTTGTCACTCCCCAAACACAACCTCCCAACAGCATTATTTGAGGGTATGAATGGCTTTATGCAGAGCATTGAGGCTTTAACAAGGTGGAACAAAATCACAAAAGATCGGCTATTGCCTCTTGGCTAAGGAATTCTATAGATAGCCCTTTAATATACACGTTCTCATCCTTACCTTCAGAACACCGAGGTACCAGGGGCAATGATGAACTTCATTTTAACAATGGCAGAGAGTTTTGGCTCCCTTATAAATTTGCACTTTTGTGTTCACTCCTTCTGTCCCTCCTTACCTCCTATAAGAGACTGGGGTCCGAGTCTGCAGTATGACACGGAAGATGGTTTGTAGCCTCCCCTCAAAACACCACGGTGTAGGGTAGAAAGTCTCTCTAGTGACTGGACAGTGTTGCTCCAGGAAGGCCAGGAACTGGGGCCCTGTGACCAGTTGAGGTTTCTGTAATCACATGGCACAATCTGCTTCACTCCTCTGGTTTTGCAACAATGTGAAAAGTGAGCAAGTGCCCAGGCCAGCCTGGAGGGCACTGCTTGGTCTAGATAGAGGTAAGATTCCCAAAATTTTCATCTAGAATGATAGTACTGTCCAGCTGGCCCTCCAAGAACCCTAGTCCTGGAGTTGGCCCAGGACCAAGGCTAGGGTCTGCTGTGATTAGGTGCTGGCTGCCCCAGCAGATTAACCTGGAAGCACAGGACTCGCGGGTTTATAGTAGGCACAGTGCCAAAAACCCAAACCAAGCCTACTGTCACTGAGTTGACTCCAATGTACAGCAACTGTAGGACAGAATGGAACTTCCCAGAAGGGCTTCAGAGACTACAGTTTTTATAGAAACAGACTTCCTCTTCCCCCACCCCCCTACCAGAGTGGCTGGTGGATTCGAACCACTGTCCGGTTTTGGTTAAGCTGAGTACTTTAACCACAGTGCCACCAGAGCTCCAAAGCAGTCTGCAAAAGCATAATTGTGCTTATTTCGTAGTGCACAGTTTCAAATGGACTTCGTATATTGTGAAAAACAGGTGAAATCACACAGATACACACAAAACAGAATAAGAACAAGTGAATGAATCCAGGCATATCTTGCTGTTTTGGGGTAAACTATTCCTGCCTGCTGTACTAAGTATATTCCCGACCAAAACCATTTTGGAGATGAGTATATCTCATTAACTGCCCACAAAACCAATCTGTCTTAAGAGGAAGTGCAATCAGTGCTCTTTAAAGACAAAGGGAACTTTCACATACTTTTGGGCATATTGTCAGGAGGGGCCAGTTCTTGGAAGAGGATGATGCTGGGAAAGGTAGAAGGCCTGTGAAAGAGGAAGACCCTCAACAAGATGGACTGACACTACAACAGTGGGCTTGAGCCTATAGGGACTCTAGAGGGTGGTGCAGAGTAAGGCAAAATTCAGGCACGTTCATGGGGTTGCCTGATTCCTAGTCAATAGCACCTAACAACTAAGGAGCTCTGCTGGGTGGGTGGTCACCAACTACAAGAAAGACAGGCAGTCTCTACCTGTGGCCTCTGGAGGGCCAGCTAGGGGTCAGTTCTGTCTTGATGGTACACAATAAGAGGTTAAAAAAGAAATAGCATGGTAGGAAGGAGGGCCTAAAGTTCTAGGCAGAAACTAAAGAAATGCAGTGCTGTTCAATTCATGACCTTTGCCTTACACTTGGATTACTCACACATTCCCTGTCATCTACCCAAGACTAACTGGCCATTCTTTCTGCCTCCTGGCCTGAGATGAATGACTTGTATATTCCTGTTAGCAGCAGTGTGTGCTTATACTGCTTAAGGGCTTCTTTCTGCCACATTCCACTTTCTCCTGTAGTCTCAAGCTAGACCATACTCTAAATGCTAATGTGAACAGATTTCCTTTTCCTTCATGCCACCCAGGGGTAATGCAGCAGGGATGGGATGACAGGGACAGGTGTGGACAGTGGGCCCTCAGCCTTGACTTTTAGTCCCTCTGCTTGGTTCTTTCTAGAAGGACATCAAGTGATCGAGATGGCCTAGCTACATAGAAGAGTAAGGAAGGGGGAGGAAGCTGTACACAGTCCAAAGGTCTCAAACTCAATAATGGAAATCACATTTCTGTTGTTTTTATGTGCCATCAAGTTATCTGAGACACAGTGACCTTATGCACAGGAGCTCTGAAGCCTGCCCTGTCCTGAGCCAGTCTCACTGACTCCAAGACATCTACCCTCATTGCCCCAGTTACTGTATCAATCCATCTCACCCAGGGTCTTCCTATTCTGTACTGTCCCTCCACCTTTATAAGCAGGACCGGTCCCTCCTGGCCACGTGCCCAAAGCAGGTCCTAAAGAACTCAAGGACCAGGTTCCTGTTTATTTTACAGTCCCAATACTCAGATAGAGGCTGAATAATAAACATGAGAGGCATAATTGTGTGAATGTTCTGAGACATGACTTATATTATTCTTAAACTCTGGAAAAATAATAGCTAGAATTCACTGTGTATTTCTGCAGGCATTGGCTTCAACCATTTGAGATAGGATATTTTCTAAGTAAACAGTGATCACAAATATTAGTGGTTTGTCTGAAATTACAGCAAGTAAGAAGCAAGGCAGGATTAATTCTAATAATGTTGTATGCCTTTGAGTTGGAACTGGCCCATAGTTGACCTTCCAGGAAGTTTTCAGAGGCAGTTAATCGCACGGGAGGAGACTTGCCCATACTCCCAAGCAGCAGCTGGTAGATTCAAACCAGCTGGTGGATACTAAACTTTGGGTTACGAGGGCCTTGCCACTAGACCACCAGAGCTTCCTAATTATAATAATATTACCGCTTCTGAAATAATAGGCCTTTGTGAACCCTCTGTATAATAGCACACACTCAGATTAGACTAGTAGAGATGGCATCAAACTGGAAAACAGAAATGAGGAGGAACTGAGATAATGGGGTTAGGAGTGTCTTGACACAGTGAGACTGGCTCCAGATAGAGCAGGGTTCAGAGCTGTTGTGCATAGGATCATTATGAGTCTCAGGCAACTCAACAGCACATAACAATGATTCTAATACAAAAACTTTGAAGATTATCATCACTATGCACAAGGCATCATGCTAAGTATTGATTTTACCTCGTGATCTTGACAATATGGGATAAGTCTGTGGAAACAGTTTTGAATCTTGAGTAACTTGCCAAAGGTCACAAAGCTCATAACTGGCAGAACTGAGGGTACAACCTCAACTCTGGTTCTAGAGCCTGTGCTCTTAATTGTACTATAACCCACTACAGTCCAGTCAATTCCAGTTTATGGTGACCCTCAATCAGTTTCCATTGCTGTAAATATTAATGGAAGGAAACTGCCTCATCTTCACCTGTCAAGTGATCGAGTGACTAGTACATAGACTTGAATAGGTGACCTTTCACTTAGCAGTGCAACATGTTAATACAATATTAAAAAATAACCCCAAAACACTGCTAGTGAGTTGATTCTGATTGAATCATAACAAACTCTGGCTAACATTGAGAAGAATGGGAATCTCAGAACACTTAATTGTGCTCATGAAATCTACCGAGCAAGGGAACACTACGTTGCATGGATAAAAATTAAGAAAGGTGTGCATCAGGGTTGTAGCCTTCCTCCATACCTATTTAATCTGTACACTGAGCAAATAATTCTAGAAGCTGAATTCTATGAAGAAATATGTAGCATCAGGATCAAAGGAAGACACAGCCTTCAATATGGATTACATCTCAACATCAAGTAGACAAAAATCTCACCACTTGCAGATAAGCAATATCATTATAGATGGAGAAAAGATTGAAATTGTCAGCAACTTCACCTTACTTTGATCTATAACCAACACCCTTCGTACAAGCAGTCAGGAATCAGGAAACATTGCACTGGGCAAGTCAGCTGTCAGAGACCTCTCCAAATTAGAGTAACAAAGATGTCAGTTTAAAGACTAAGGAGCACCTGATTCAGGCCATGGTCTTTCCAGTCACTTGCTGTGCATCTACTTAACAGCTGGACAATGAATACAGATGACAAAATTGATGCTTTGAGGTGGTGGCAGAGAAGAGTACTGAATATCCCATGAACTGCCAGAAGAACAACCAGATATGTCTTGGAGGCAGAGTGTTCCCTGGAAGCAAAAGTGATAAAGCTTCATTCATCTCACATACTTTGGGCATGTTGCTAGGAGAGGCTATTCCTTGGAAAGGGACCTCATGCTTGGAAAGGTGGAGGGTCGGTGAAAGAGAGGAAGACCGTCAACCAGATGGATTTGACACAGTGACTGCAGCAGTGGGTCCAGATGTATCAGAAATGATAAGGATGAGACAGCATCGGACCAGATTCAGGTCTCTTGTTCATAGGGTCACTATGAGTCATCCTTGACTCGAAGGCTCCTAACAACAACAACAGCATAGTACCCCTCTCTTGTGTTTCCAAGGGAAGTCTGGTGGTGAAGTCTGTAGGTAGTTGCACTATTAACCCAAAGGTGGTACTTTTATTCTGGTTTAATTCCACCAGAATCTCTCCAAGGGAGAAAGATGCAAAATCTCCTGTGTGATTAAACTTCAGAAACCCAGTGGAGTATCAGCTATGACTCGGTTCCAATAACAATGAGAGTGAGGAAGACTATAAATCTTCACAGGAGGAAACTGCCTATTTTTCTCTTTTGGAGCCATCTTACAGTTAGCATCCTGACACATTACGAACTGGGCCACCAGGACACTCCAATTGTGCTACTATCAAGTTGGTTCCACCTCACAGTGACTGTCGGGCATCCATGGCTGTAAATGATAATGGAAGAAAGAACTGCTCATCCTTTGCCCATGTAAATCTAGTGGATTTGAAGTACGTTCAAATCACACATGGTCATTGGGTTAGTTAGCCCAACTCCCTATTGACTACACCGCCTGAGTTCCCTTAATTAACTGTCTCAACTCATTCCCTTCGAGTTGGGACAATTCATCGCTGACTCTCTAGAGAGTTTTCAGAGACTTGAGGAAAGTGCCCATTTTTCTCCCAAAGAGGAACTGGTGGATTCGAACAGCTCACCTTTGAGTTGATAGCACAATTATCTACTAGGCCTCTGGAGCTTCCTCATTGCCAAGGTCTTGAGTTATTATCAGTTTATTGAATCTTTACTCAAACAACTCAATAATAAAAAACAAGGTGCTGATTAATTAGTTCTCAGGTTTGATTTGTATAGAATCATTTCATTTTACTTGTAACAACGTTTCTCAACTCACTCCTGAAAATTAATTATGTGTTAATATGCCATAAATTGCTGCTGGGACCAAACCTTGTCCTTAGGGCTACAGAATGAAGCTTTCCCTACATTTAAATCAGTATTTGAAAGTCAAGAAAGTTTGGAATATAATGTGTAGTCAGTTGCAAGTAAAGAAAAATGTTTAGTTAAGAATAGTGCCACTTGGGGGTGGGTAGGGAGAAAAGTGCAACAATGAA